GGCTGGGCCTCTCTTCCACCTTCAAACGGGTTAAAGTCTGGGTCATCCAGCTTGTTCCAGTCCAGGTTGTAAGACCCCCGGAGAAGGGGAATGGGCTCCTCATCTGCCTCCTTGGGCGGATTTTCCTGCCTGGCCTCTGATACCCTGGAAGGACGTTTAAGGCTGGGTCTCTCCCCCAGTTCCCTTTTGCTGGTGGCATTGTCAGAGAAATCAAATTCTAGCCTTATGGGTCTGTTGCTCCACGAGCTGACCCTTTGGTCATCAGCTTCTTCCTTCTGAGGACTTGGGGATGGGGCCCCTCTAGCCTTCAGAGGGCTGGCCAGGATGGTGTTCCTAGGACCAAAGGGGTCCTCAGGGCTGGCTGGGGCCTTGCCAGGCAGGTCTGCGAAGGGTCCTTCTGCACATGCTTCTGTAGGCTGAGTGCCAGGTGGCCAAGTAGCCCCGGATGAGGATGCAGGGACCTGGTTCGAATTTTCTCTGGCAGCTCTGTGAGGGTCTTCTGTTCTGTCTTGGGGAGCCATCTGGGAAGAGTCTTCTAGGATTTCAGAGGTGGACATAATACTTTTCTCTAAGAAATAAGAGCGAACACTTTCCTCCAAGGCTTGCTCAGGGCTCACAGACGTTTGTCCTAGAGAAGCCACTTGATTTTCAAGACTTTCTGGCATCTGGGGAGAGCTTGAGGGATCCAGGCTGGCCAGGTGAGTGGAGGTGGGCCCACTGGAATGTCGCCTATCTTCAGAGACTGCTCTCACATCGCCAGGAGGGGCATTGGCATTGGTCATCATTGGTTTCTGGAGAATTCCATTGGTCATTTTGAGGTCAACCTCCTTTGTAAGCTGTTGACTTTTTAGAAACAAATTTAGTTAATATTAAGGAACCTATTAGCTTTTTAATTATAATTCAGTTCACGAGAACACGTTAGTTACAAACAGGAAAGAGGAATGTTCAGTCAACACTCTTCTTAGGATTAACTTTAGCAAGTATGTCCTCATAAATCAAAGCTGGTGGACCAACTAGATCACACAAGTTTTGTTTGTTCGTTTTAAAGTTTACTTATCAGGTAGAGAAAGACAAGGAGAACGAGTGATCACAAGCAGGGGGAGGTGCAGAAGGTAAGGGAGAAGCTGACTCTGCTGAGCCAGGAGCCCAATGCAAGGCTCGATCCCAGCACCCTGGGATCATGGCCTGAGTTGAAGGCAGAGGATTCACCAATTGAGACCCCAAACACCCCTAAATCACACAGATTCCTGAGAGATATAGTACAGATGTGACAAATAATTAATCAGTTAAGGTTTTCTGTGCTAGCTGATTTCCCCCTTTCAGGTAAGGGCCACTAGCTACACAGTCAGGAACAGGGCACAAGAAGGTCAAGATTTTCACCAAAGAGAAAGGCAAGATCGAGAGCTCTGCCTTCTGACAGAGCAGGGTTTGACACTGAGAACACCCAAGGCTGGCTTGCAAGTAGAAAGGAGTCCCTATTGGTGTGAATAAAGAACCATAATCACAGAGCATCCTTCCTTGGAGTTGTGATCAGACATTTCATGAAATTAGAAAAACAAAACCCAGGCCAATCTGCTGGCAAAGGCACAGTAAAGGAGTGGAACATAAACTTATTTGGGGCACTTGGTGGCTCAGTCTGATTTGAGTTCAGCTCAAAAGTTGAGCGTTTAACTCTTGAATTCAGCTCAGGCTGTGATCTTAGGGTATGAGGCGATCTCAGGGTGTGAGGTTGAGGTTCTCTCTCCTTCTCACTCTTCCCCTCCCCACTCCTGCTCTCTTTTAAAATATATAAAGACCTTAAAAAAAAAATACCCAACAAAAAACCCCTTAAACTTTGTTCTGTATTTTTCGTCATTTGTTTTTCTACTAACAAATGACCTCTAATGCAAGTGAGCCAGGCAACACACTGCACGAGCTCAGAGCAGAAACTAGGAGGAACTCAACCAGATGTGACTGAGGATAAAACAATTTTCCTGCCACATCCCCTGGAGGGGTTACAAATTGCATCACATCAGGGAAACCTGGGTGGCTCAGTGGTTGAGCATCTGCCTTGGGCTCAGGTCATGATCCCTCTGCCTACATCTCTACGTCTCATAAATAAATAAGATCTTTATTTTATTTTTTAAAGATTTTATTTATTTATGCTTGAGAGACACAGAGAGAAAGAGGCAGAAACACAGGCAGAGAGAGAAGCAGGCTCCATGCAGGAAGCCCGATGTGGGACTTCGATCCCGGGACTCAGGGATCATGCCCTGAGCCAAAGGTAGATGCTCAACTGCTGAGCCACCAGGTGTCCCTAAATAAGATCTTTAAAACAACCAACCAAACCAAACAAATTGCAATACATCAAGCAGCATCAACAACTTACTTCTCTTTCTGGATCCGGTTTTGAGGAGAGTTTTCTAACCCAAAAGCATCCTCCAGAGCAAAAGGAACCTCGAGCTTGCTGCTCATGCCAGGACTTAATATCCGATGTGTCTGTGGGTCCCGAAGAGGAGTCTGAAAAGTCACCTGTTGGGAGAAGAGACCTGTTCAATAATTCAAGTCTTGAGCAACTCTGCCGGCAGTGCCCTGCCCACTTCCCTAAGTCCCCAGGAAAGCAAGTCCCAGGGTGATCCAAGGCGTGACACACAGTAGTTAACAGGGGCAAAACATGCTTACTTTCATAGCTTTGACTACGCTCTTGGGTGGCACATTTTCTTTTTGTGACAGACGAAGAACAGACAGTCTTCCAGTAAGTTCCGGTGGTGAAAACAGGAACTCATGGTTTTCTGTACTTTTGTCACCAGTGACGTTTTCATCGTTGCAGATCTGCAGACTCATTCTGGAAAAGCAGACACTTTGCGTCAGTGGGAGGGCTGTGCAGTTTGGATGAATGGCCAGCGCAAGAAGCTGGCCTCACATGGGAGATGTCCCCTTCCTGCACAGGTGAGTCCCATCTCAGGCAGCATGTCCTGTGCCAGACAGTCCTTGTCCTATTTTAGGGCAGCTGTCACTTCTCAAGAAAAGAGATGTAAGGGCCCTCAGGCCGTAAAGGGCCCTCAGGCCCAGTGGTTTTCAGGTCCTGAAAACCACTGGGGTTTAGTGGTAAAGGTCAGGAGACAGGGGTGCTGGGCTGTTGGAAGCTTAAGGCACAGGCCACAGCACAGCTCCAGCAGGCTGCTAAGTCAGCTGAGCGCAAGAAACAGAAGAGTGCTGTGGCTTGCTCTCCCATCACAGGCTGGGAAACAGGGAGCACCCTGGGGGCTCATGAGGGCCCAGCCCCAGAGAAAGAGCTGGACAAGGCACCAACCAGCAAAATGCAGCATGACTTGATGGGGACTACACTGAGACCTGGAGTCTAGAAACATGCACCAGTGACCTACATAGAGGCCCAGAATGTTCTAGAACAGCCCCCACTCCTCCTTCCCCAAGGTCCTCATGATGGTCATGTCATCAATGTGACACTCCCAAGCCAGGAGTCACCAGAGGACTCATCTGTGGGAGTATCACAGGTGTTTCTGGTGTTGGGGATGCTGGAGACTGCAGCTTGAGGAGTCAGGCCAGGGCAGCTGGGGCAGAGGAAGGAGGCTGGCCTGGAAAGAGGTGAGTCAGGGTAACAAGATGCCCTGGCAGGAATGTGGAGGCCAGGGAAAGGTAGGAGGGAAGTAGGGGGTCCTAGGCTTCTGCAGCCAGCCAGGGGTGCAGTTGTCGGCCCTGGCTGGCCAGCAGGCCCCTAAGGATGTGGAAGCTGGAGTGAAACAGAACTCAAGGGGAATTCTTTTTTGGTGTGACCTGGGTGAAGCAGAAAGGAGCTGGATGGCTGTGGGGTACGTGAGGGAGGGGGTAAACAGCCCCCGCGGTGCGTGGGTTCGGCCTCCACCCACAGCGGGGAGGCGGCTCCGGAGCAGAGGCGGCCAGGCCAGGCAGCCCAGGAGCACAGGAGGTGGGTGAGCAGGTGGGGAGGATCGGCAGCACCGGGAGGGCTGGGCAGCTGCAGTCAGGGAGGCTCGCAGGTGCAGCGTGGAGGGAATAGTAGGAAGCTGCCCCCAAAGGCTGCGGATTGGGGTCCAGTGGTGGGACCCCTGGACACTGCGCAGCCGGCCTGAGGGTGGGAGCTGCACGTGTGCAAGGCTCGGAAGCGAGTGGTGCTGGAGGCTGGACAGGCTCAGGAGGTGACGAGGAGGGGGCGGCCAGCGGACTGGCCGGAGAAACCCTGACACACGGGCCCCCTGGACCGCCACAACGCAGCCCACCCGGCGGCTGGGCGGCTCCGCAACCGGGCTACTCGGGACCTCGGGGAGGAGGAGTCCCCGGACGGGCGGCCGCTGGGGCTGGTGCGGCGCGGCCAGCGCACCTCAGGGCCACGGGAGGAGCGCGGAGAGCGGGGAGGAATGTCGGTCAAGGGCAGACGCCGCCCTGATGCCGCGGGGGCCGGGGGCTGGGGGAGGAGAGTGGATGGAGCCCCGAGCCCGGGACTCCGGGACCCAGCCGCCGCCGCCTACCTGCCGGCGGCCACGCGAAGCCCAGGGAGCGGGAGGCGCCGAGTCCGGGAGACCGTCCGCCCGCCGCGGTTTCAAATACCGACGGTTGGCGCCCGCGGCCAATCAGCGCGCGACCGGGGGCGGGACGCACGGAAGCCGCGGCCACGCCCACGTCCCGCTTCCGGGGTAGGGGCCCGCGGGGCGTGACGGGCGCCGGAAGCCATCGGTGGGGAGGGGCGGCCGGCGGGCGGGCGGAGGCTGCTGGGCTGTCGGACTCGGCTGCATGTCCAGAGGTCAGGGCCTGACAACCTTTGCCCCAGTCTTAGTTTCCCCAGGTGTAAAATGGGACCAGCTGTAGAACCGCCCCCAACGCGGGTCGTGAGATGGAGCCAAACCCTCGCGAGGACCGTCGCGGTCTCACCACGTCGGGCTGTGTGCTGGGCGTGGCGACTCCATTTCCCAGGGTGCCCCGCGCCAACGTGACGTCTCCTAGCGCGCCCCACACAAGCCTGTGGGCGGGACCCCGTCTCCCAAAATGCCCCGCGGTCGGGGACACCGTCTCCCAGAGCACCCCGCGCCGACCCGGCGTCTACCTGCCGACGCCCACCGGCTGGGAGTTCTGGTGTCTGTTTCCCGTCCAGGACCGCAGGGCTCTCCCTGACGGCCTCCTGGCGGCCGCGGCACCGTGATGGACAGCCCGGAGGTCACCTTCACGCTGGCCTACTTGGTGTTCGCCGTGTGCTTCGTATTCACGCCTACCGAGTTCCACTCGGCCGGACTCACGGTGCAGAACCTGCTGTCGGGCTGGCTGGGCAGCGAGGACGCCGCCTTCGTGCCCTACCACCTGCGCCGCACGTCCGCCACGCTGCTGTGCCACTCGCTGCTGCCGCTCGGTGAGCAGGCCGGACCCTCCCTACGGAGGGCCCTCCTGGGTGGGCGGAAGCGGCCCCTCGGGCTCGCGGCCGAGTTCCGGGGCCCCGGGGGCGGCTGGGCCCCTGGAGCTTGCCCAACCTGTGGAGCGGAGTCGGGGGAGCGCGGACCCGCGGCCGCTCTGAGCCGTGGCTGTGGGCCCACCGCCTGTGCCTCTCGCGTCCGCTGCTCCCGGGAGCGGAGAGGAAGGTGCTGGCGGCAGCTGTCCGCTTGTAGGTGGAAGAAACGTGGGCTTAGGATGTTGGGGGGCGGGCATGGGGGGGATGCTTCACACAGCTGGGATGGGTCGTGAGTTACTACGTGGGGGCAGTTCCCAGGAGAAGGGCAGGAGTTAACTGATTGTAACAGGAAGGTGGAGGGGCCTGGGAGAGCAGGTGGCCTTGTCCCAGCTTCCTTCTGGAAAGGAGGGAAGGTGGGAAAGAACGCAGAGATGGGTGACTCCATGGGGGTGTCACAGGTGCAGAGGTTGGGAGGGTATGGTGTGTGTGGCGGGCCAGGAGGCTCACACGCTGCCGAGGGATTGGCCTGGGTGGAGACCTCTGAAAGACTGGCTTGTCAGCTGGCTGGACAGGGGACTGGCTGGAAAGTGGGGTACTAGGTGTGTGTGTGAGGGGCTGGTTCTTTGGAGGATACAGGGCAGAAGCAGGTCTGGAAGGACAGGTGGCTGGTAGGGGGCCTGCTCTAGGGCTCAGTGGACTTGACAATTTCTCGCTGCAGCAGGGCTCAGCAGCCTGGGCCAAGTGGAGAGCAGCCTAGAGGGGGCTGGGCTGAGGCCAAGCATGCGCTTGAGAACTGCCTGCCTCATTGGGAAGAGGAGCAGATGGGCCCATGCTGAGACAGACACAGGGCCTTCTTGGCGATTGGTGGTCTCTCTGCCTGCTATTGGGATAACTATATGGGTTTCTCAGCTCCCCTGTGAGGCAGGGATGTTAATTAATTAGCCCATTTCTCAGATGCGGAATGTGTGGCTCAGAACTTGGGCTCCCGGGAGGCTCATGGGTAGGGTTTCTGACCTGGGAACTAAGGGTCCCCCCAGCTTTCTGGAGTCCTTTTAGCAACCTTTTCTATAAGCCTGTGAGTGGCTACTCTGTCACCACACTACACATGGACGGAGAAACCAGAACTTAGGGAGGAGTTCAGTGACACATGGAGGTGGAGCCTGGTCTGGTGACTGGTCCTGGGGTCTTTTTCTTTTGAACTCATTTTGAGCAGCTTTGAGAGTTTGTATGTGTTATCTGTTGCTGCATGAACTACTTTAAATGTAGCAATTTAATCAACAGTAAATGTTTACTATTATTTTGCAGCCTTAAACGTGCTTGCACAGGTATCCATTATCTGCTTTATTACTTCAGTTGTTTGGACATGCAGATTGGCCCTGATCTGGCTAGCAGGGGCCCTGGATCTGGCTAGCAGGGGCCCTGGAGCTGTCTCCCACAGGCTGTGCCCCATTATTCTTTGCTTACTGTTTGGCACACGAATCTGAGCTCTGGGATTGGGCCACATTGATTTGCCTCCTCAGAGGGGGTGGGGCTGAGACGCCAAGATCCCGCCTGTTGGAGGGCCAGCGTGTACCTCTGCATTGGGTGACACCAAATCCTTGCATTTGTTTTTGCATTTTTTAGGTTTTCCTATTTTCTTAATCATATTGTGTAAAACTAAACTAGCAAATTAAAAACACTTTTTCCTCATTTATTGTATTACTATCGTGGACAAAGGTTGAGCTGGGCCAGCCATGAGGGCAGGTAAGGTCAACCTGCCCTAGGCTACCGTGGTCTGGCCCTGGGAGCCCACCAGGGCAGAGGGCCAGGCCAGGGCTGGGGATGAGGGTAAGTGGCCCCTTCCGGAGATACAGGGACAGGACTGTGGTCCCTGTGGTCACTAAGGGGGGGAGAACGATGGCTTGGCAGTCCTGATCTCTGCTGAGGCCCTCCCCATTCTTTGTAGGCTACTACGTGGGCATGTGTTTTGCCGCTTCAGAAAAGCAGCTGTATTCTCTTGGTCAGGCCCCGGAGGCCTGGCAGCTCTTCCTCCTGCTGGCAGTGACCCTGCCCACCATCGCCAGCACCGTGATCTACTACTGGTCCTGTGATCAGTGGGCCCGCCACCCACTGGCCCGCACCCTGGCCCTCTATGCCCTCCCGCAGTCAGACTGGTGGGCTGTGGCCTCCTCAGTCAACACCGAGTTCCGGCGGATTGATAAGTTTGCCACGGGGGCACCCGGTGCTCGTGTGATCGTGACAGACACGTGGGTGATGAAGGTGACCACATACCGTGTGCATGTGGCTCAGCAACAGGATGTGCACCTGACCGTGACGGAGTCACAGCAGCACGAGCTCTCCCCAGATTCCAACCTGCCTGTGCAGCTCCTTACCATCCACGTGGCTGGCACCAGCCCTGGCGTGCAGGCCTTCGACATCCGGTAGGTGCACTTATAGCCAGGGTGAGCATGAGTCTGGGGCCACTCTGGGAGGCGATGGTACGTGGAGCAGACTCTTCTAGCCACCCTTCCAGCGGGACTCTCAAGGCTCTTTATCCCTTGCACCCCCGTAGGTACCTTGTGGCTCTTTTCTGGGGGGAGCACATTAGGGATCTTTGGGGGTGGTACAGGACCGAGGTTTGGTGATTGCCTTGGGTCTGGGGCCCAAACGGTGATCTCCTCCCATTCAGACTGTGGACTGTCTGTTGTCCCCCTCCTGTGACCCGCCTTGTGCCTGAACTTGTTGAAAGCTAGGCATTCTGTCTCCGCTGCAATCCCCCAACTCTCTTTGCTCCTCCCTGCATCCCTTGGGGGCAGGTCGGCGGTGCTGGTTCTGTGGGTGCTAGCCTCAAGGCTCTCTTTGCTGGCTGGTCTTCACCTGGCAACTGGGCTGCACCTGAGCCCCCATCCCCGTGTTCTGTGAGGTTTGTGAATGCCCTGTCTCCTGGAGGCATGTCAGCATCCCCAGCAAGAATGATGGCCCTCCCTGCCCTGCAGAGGGGCCTTGGCTCAGTGGCCCCAGCCTAGCAGCCCCCACCTTGTGCAGGCTGAACTCCACGGAGTATGGTGAGCTGTGTGAGAAACTCCGCGCACCCATCCGCAGTGCAGCCAACGTGGTCATCCATCAGAGCCTGGGCGACCTGTTCCTGGAGACATTTGCTTCTCTGGTGGAGGTCAACCCAACTTACTCAGTCCCCAGCAGCCAGGTGAGGGCTGTGTGGGGGCAGATGGGTTCCCATAGACCAGGCCCCCTGGGGTGGGAGTGGGGCCCACAGCCACTTGGCCAGGATCCCCATGACCCTCTTGGCCCACCCACAGGAGCTGGAGGCATGCATTGGTTGCATGCAGACACGTGCCAGTGTGAAGCTGGTGAAGACCTGCCAAGAGGCAGCTGAGGGCGAGTGCCAGCAGTGCTACTGTCGTCCCATGTGGTGTCTCACTTGCATGGGCAAGTGGTTTGCCAGCCGCCAAGACCCGCAGCGCCCTGATACCTGGCTTGCCAGCAGAGTGCCTTGCCCCACCTGCCGTGCACGCTTCTGCATCCTGGATGTGTGTGCTGTGCGCTGAACCTTCTGGCTGGAGCAAAGGAGTGGCCTTGGGGGTCCCTGAAAGCCCTACCAGGGACCCCACAGCCACCATGAGGAGTAGCCAGGGCTCCAGGCCCTTGTTTGTGTTGTCATCCAGGGGCTCTTTTCCCAGCCTCATGGAGCTTGAGGGTTTTTGTTTAAAAAGGAAGTTTTTTTTTTTGCAGCAGTGGCAGTGGGATGGGACTTCAGTGCCTCTGCTTCCTTTGCTGCTTGTTTCTCCAGGTAGAGGCAGGTGCTGGACACGAACACGGTATGGCGTGGGGCCCATTTCCAGAGCATTCTGAGGCTGCCTGAGCTATCTTCTGGGAGACCAGGGGTCTGCCTCCATGGCCCTACCCTGAACCACTTGCCTTAACTTTATGCAGCACACCTGCCTCTCAGTTACACACCAGAACCAGGTTTATCTAAGCTGGTTGCAGTCTGTCCTCCAGGCTTCTGAGTCCAGGCCCTGTGGTAGTGTCCCCTCCGCACCCCACCAGGCAGGCTGCTGTGAGGATGCAGAGAGAGGGGTGCAAGTTCGGGGTGAGAGCACTATGTGGGCTTTCTGGGTGGGGTGGCCCCTACTTAGTTACCTGCCCCCCCCAGAGGTTCTGGACTTACTGTCGGGCTGGCTTCCATCAACTCCTGTAATTCAGCTGCATGCTTGGGGGGGGGGTTGCCTTTCTCCTGGAGGGCATGCACCTCCATGCCTCCTGCTGCCCCAGGAGCCCCGAAAAAGGCCAGGCCTGATTCCTGGCCGGAGATGGGTATTGAGACATCCTACATCTGGACAAGTGCTTTGGGAGGTAGCACAGGGCCCACCACAGCTCTGCACCTGGAGTGGAATGACGTGCCTCTTCCCCATTCCTGGTGGCCCATGGGGAGGGCAGGAATAGCCCGGCCCACGTGGCTGTGGGTGTGTGTGTGAGGGGGTTCATGCGTGGGGCCCTAAGCCGCGCCCCCCCTCCCCCAGCTGTTGTGTCCGCTGAGGTGAGGGACCCAGCTGGCGGCCATCGGGGTGGGGCCGGCAAGCCCAGCCTCAGCCCCGGCTCACGGGCTGCCAGAGGAAGCCGGATCGGGTTATTTCTACTACTAGGGAAAGTTTTATAAAGGGGAATTTATTGTAGCTGAGTGCGACGGTTCTTAATAAATGTTCGTCTGAAGTCCGTACTGGAATGTCTTGTCTTTCCTGATCCTCGCCCTGGGCCCGGGAGAAGCCAACTGGGAAGTGAAGCGCCATGGCTATGGCTGCTGCAGGCGAGGCGGGCGGCTTCGGCAGGGAAACCGGGGCAGCTGCCGCCGCAGGGCCTAGGGCACCGGGACGCCCCTTCCGGGTGCCACCCCTTCCGGGGCCCGTTTCCCGCTTGCACGGAAGGCTCGGCCAATCAGGCGCGCGCGCTCTCCTCGGCCCCGCTCAGCGCCTGCGTCGCGCGCGTGTCCGAATCTCCCGCCAAGGCCCCTTCCCCTCCCCCCGCCCTGCTCGCGGAGGCTGCGGCCCGGGCCGTCCCAAGGCTTGGGGGTGGGGGGCACCGTTCCTCGGGCCTCTTCTGGCTCGGCCGTCTCCCGGAAGGCCGTGGCAGCGCTGCGGTCCCTGTGCCCGCGCGGAGCGCGCGCCGCCGCCTGGGCCCCCCCCGCCGGCCTGGGCCCGATGGTCTCGCCCACCGCTGCGCGCGGGAGCTCCGAGGGGCGGGGCCGCCGGCACATAAAGGCGGTTGGGGGCGGGGCGCGCGCCCAGAGCCTGTCAGCGCCGGCGCGGGAGAGGACGCTGCCCCCGCTGCTGCCCCCGCCGCTGCCGCCGCCGGCCCTGGGACCGCCGTCTGAGGACCCCGCCGCCGCCCGAGGACCCCGCCGCCGCCGCGCTCGATGGCTTGCCGACCGCGAAGCCCTTCCGGGTGCGGGAGCCGCCGTGACGGCGACGCCAGGTGAGGCGGACCGCGCGCCCCGGGGCGTTCCGGGCGGGCCGAGGGGTGGGGGGGTGTCCTCGCGGCCGGCCTTACTTACCCCTGACGCGGCCTCTCGTCTGCAGCCCGCCGACCCCCGCCAGATGGAGCCTTGGACGGAAGCGCAGAGCCGACGGGAAGCGCAGGAAGCCCGAGGACGCCGAGGGCCCAGTGAAACCCGAGGGCGACGGCAGGCCCGACAGGTGGGCCCGGGGCGCTGCGCGAGCTGGGGGTCTGGGGCGCTAGTGATGGCACTGGGAGGGAGGGAGGCCCTCATCCTGGCTTCTTGAGGCGCCTGGGGGCCTCCAGCGGGCTAGCGATGGCGCCGGGGGTGGGGGTCCTCATCATGGCTGCTCGAGGTGTCGCGGGGTGGGGGTTCTCCTCCTGGCTGCTCGAGGCGATTCGGAGTTAGGGGTCTCTGTGTGGCTGATTAAGTAGATGGGGTCTGCACTCGGCTGGTTGAGGCGCCGAGGGTCCCTCCTTGGTTGCTTAAGGAGATTATGGCTCACCACTTGACTGGTAGAGGCCCCCAAAGATTCTCATCCGATTGGTAAAGGTGCCCGGATTCCCCACTTGTCTTGTTAAAGAGGCTGTGGGTTACTACCCAACTGGTTAAGGCCCCTGGAGAGTCCACACCCAGCTGGTTAAAGTGATTGTAGGTCCCCACCCAACTGGTTAAGGAGGCTGCGGGCCCGCACCCCACTGATTAAGGTGCCCAGGGATCCCCCACCCAGCTGAAGAGGCTGTGGGTCCCCACTTGGCTGGTTAAGGCATCTGGGGGCCCCCACCCGACTGGGTAAAGATGCCCGGGAGCCTCAGCTGACTGGTTAAGGCGCCTGTGGGCCCCTACCCGATTGGTTATGGAAGCTGTGGGTGGCCTCCCTGACCACTTGTGGTGTCCGTGGCTCCACATCAGTTGATTGATCAAGGTGCTTGTGCGTCACAGCACCTCACTAGTTATAGGGCCGCTGCCTCAGAACACTTGGTTAGTCGTGGTGCCTGCTGGTCTCTGTATCTGACTAGTTAAGGCCCCTGTGCTCCAAATGCTTGGCTAATTAACGAGCCTGTGTCTTCTGACATTTGACTGTTAAAGTACTGACATGTTATGTGATGTGGCTGAAGATGTCATGAAGGTCTCTAGTGACAGGTGTCAACGGGAGCTGGTCTCAGTGAGTGAGCCTTCTTGGGTTTTTGGGACAACGTGGGAGGCTGCCCTGAATTTCCTAGAATGTTTCAGTGCAGCTCGTCAGGTTGGCCTCCTGAAGAATCAGTTTAAAGATAGTCATCCCACAGTGAGAAAAGGCGTCTGTATGCAGAATGCAAACTGGGTTTAAGTTCCACTTTCCTTTTCCCTGTGGCGCTCCCTGGCACTTTCTCTCCGAGGAGCCTTTCCTGCAGCATTCCTGTGAGCTCTTTATTGGGTGATGTACTGGGGAGGCTAGGACACTGTGCGAACCCCACCCCCGTTTTCTTGTCTCTGTACTCTGATGTGGGTGGCTCTGCTACTCATGGGACAAGGAACTGCTGAAGAAAACCAGGGGCAGTGGTGAAGTCCACGGGCAGGGAAGGCCTCTGTTGGTGACCGTTGTGTGACCAGGTGACGATCAGAGTCTGTGTGCCAAGCCCCTCAGCAGGGGACATGATTGGCCTGTCTGAAGCCTGACTTAAGGACAAGGGGAAAGGGAGATGGGGAAGAATGTGTGGTGCACACTAGACTTTTTAGGGCAGTTCTTACACTTGCTCATGGGGCAGGGCGGGGGTTCAGAGAGGGGTCTAGGATAACTGTGTTTCACTCTGAACACCTTTGTTCCTCATGGGACCATTTGCTAAGATGAAGAGGGTGGGGGTAGAGCAGACATGGCATGGGGAAGGCGTTGGTAGTTAATGAGGCTTGAGTTTGGATGCAGAAGTGCTCACGTTCTGCATGAGTGGGACCTCTCAGCGCATAGTTCAGCCTTTTGGAGATTTGGGGCCAGAAGATATATGTGGGAAGAGATGCAGAGTGTGGGAGACGGTCTGGACGGTGCTGGAGCTGGATGTTAAGAGAAGCCATTAAACACCATTGAGATCAAGATCTGAGTCTTCCAGGGGTCTCCCGTTTAGCTGAGGGGAAAATTTTAAATCCTTACATTGCTTTAGAAGTTTCTTGTATCCCCGTAGCTACCCCTCTAGCTCAGTAGTTAGCTACACAGGTCTCCTTACTCATCTACAGTGGCAGCAATGCCTTTGGCTCTTGCTTTTGGCTCTGTGGGTAGTGCTTGTCTGCCCCATCCGCTGTGGTGGTGCCCGGGAGATGCATATAGGTACCTGCAGGAGAGCCTGGTGCATTTCTATTGCAGAATGTGGGTACTTTCCCTGAGAGGACTCCTGTGCTAAGGCGTAGGATAAGTTCGTGAATACAATGTGCTTACTCTAAAAAACACGGGCTTTAGTTCTACAAGAGGTATTTTCTATCGTTGTATGAGAAAGTTTGTGATGTAGTGGAAGGTCATTTGTAAGCTCCTTTTAAGAGTTCAGGATCCTTTTGTGGCCCAGACCTGAGCCTCATGGTCCGCTAGTGAGGTCCAGCTTTGGACAACCCTCCGTTTGGTTCCTCTGTAGCTGGGATATAGTTACTGAGTCACATTAATTTTTGGCTCCTTAAGTTGATTTCAGAGCCTGCCAATCATTTTTAGATTCTGGAAATTTAGTTTTAGAAATCTAATTTTAGTTTTTCTGGGTGAGGTACCTATAGGACAAGGAATGCTAATTGTGCACAGTGATCGATCATCTGTTACTGCAGTTGTGTTTTTTTTTTTTTTTTAAACTTGTTTTATTTATTCACAAGAGACAGAGAGAGAGGCACAGAACATAAGCAGAGGGAGAAGCAGCCTCCTTGCAGGGAGCCCAATGTGGAACTTGATCCTGGGATCATACCCTGAGCCGAAGGCAGACGCTCTACCACTGAGCCACCCAGGCGTCCCTGCAGTTGTGTTTTCAAAGTACCTTGTGGTTTGCAGCTAGGGTGTATCCGGTTGCTTAGAGTGGCAATTGAAGCTGTGTCTAGCTTCATGCATCAATGGTGGCCAGTAGGAAATTGAGGAAAAGTAAAAACGTCTTAGTTTGCATCTAATCTACAGATAATAGGCAACCAGCAATTCTGACTGCCAGACTTCTTGGCATTAAGGGTTTTTCAAATTGCTTGCTCTAGAGCTCTTGATCTCTAGATAGATAGACCTGAGCTCCCTGTTTACGCTTAACCCAACTCTAGGGGGTACTGTTACCAGTATAGTAAGTCCTAATATAGCAAGGACTCATTGTATGTTCCCATTCCCCATTTTCATTATGTGACACATTCTGAATAGTTAATTATGTGCATTTAAAGATAAACAGCAACACTTATTAAGGACTTTTTTTTTCCTTTTTTAAACAATGGGTTTTTTTTTTTTAAGATTTTATTTATTCATGAGAGACAGAGAGGCAGAGGGAGAAGCAGGCTCCATGCAGGAAGCCTGATGTGGGACTCGATCCTGGGACTCTGGGATCAGGCCCTGAGCCAAAAGCCGATGCTTAAACACTGAGCCCCCCAGACATCCCATTAAGGACGTTTTATGTGCTAGTTGCTTCGCTTAGTATGAAATAACATTTTTTTAATACACTGAAAATAACTTCTTATTTTGTAAATTAAAGAACAAACTATTAGGCCCCATTCTCTGCCTCCCCCCCACCCCCCGCCAGTGGGCTGTTTCCTAGTGATTCAGCTAACACTGGCACATGGTGGGTGCCTAGAAGTTCAACAGATGAAGCCCAGAGAGGCTTGAAGTGAATTGTCCAAACTCATTGAGCTTGTAAGTGATGAAGCAAGAGATGATCCAGGAGCCCATTCCCCTGGCCCTCTCTAGACAACATCTGGACATCTCCTGATGTGCTGTTTGAAAGAGAACTGAAAGTAGGTGCTGCGGTTCAAGTGCACGTTTTCATTGTATTGCAGTTTTACGACTCCTGAAGGCCCGAAGCCCCGTTCTAGATGTACAGACTGGGCCAGTGCAGTTGAAGAGGATGAAATGAGGACCAGAGTTAACAAAGAAATTGCAAGGTATACATTCTGGAACATTGTGAAGTGTTCTCTGTGGTGTTTTTAATTCTATGTGAGCTTTGAGGTATGTGTTGGAAGGATGATTCCTCAGAGTCTGTCCCCATCCCAGCAGCATTAGCAGGGCCTGAGAACTTACTATAAAAGTGCTCATCTCG